CACGTAAAACTCTGCACACCAAACTCAGTGTGGGTCTGGGCCGCGGCACTGCCGGAGCAGACTACCCCTCCCGAGCCCACAGCCGCGGCCGACCCGCCGCCGCCACCCCGACCGCGAATACGAGCGGTGACGCACGGGCGACAAACAACGGTCAGCACAGGAACAACACGTCAGCGACAGTGGAGCACAGCCAGAGACAGTGCGGCAATCGGAGGTCAGACACAGGTCGGGCCTAGACTTCTGGCTTGGCGAGCGGTGAGCCAGCGACGAGTCACACCACTGTCCCGCGGGCCTCGCGCTGCGGGGCATGTCGTGACATACTGGTCTGTGTTGTGTGAGATACTGCAACTGTCGGAGGCTCATTCCACGCCAACTCAACCACTAACAGCGTAATTTTACGTGCCATGTCACATCTGGACAAAAGTCGGGCCACCGACTTGTCTTTGCTGGTAAAAGTTGCACAAAAGCTGTACAAAAGTTGGTTAAGAGCTCGGCTATCATGTGCGCTGCTGGCGATTATAAAACTTGTATGCCTCTGCGCTTAGCCGTTCCCCTTGGTGGCCTCAGAAAGTCACGCAATGACGGAAATTCACCAAGTCAACCGTTAATCCGCAACCGTAACACTTTTTGCCGGAAAACATCATACCGGCAATGAAACGTTCTGACAGGCAATTTATAGGCCGGTGGCATCATTGACAACATTATTGCACTACTATGATATTCTAATAGCAATACATTTCCAAATTTCACGACTCCTCCGATCCGTAAGAAATCTTTATTTTCGGCAGTGACGGTCAATTATATATCGGGAACCATTAATAGCAAGTGAGGACTCGCTACAACCCGCGCAGCGCGAATGCGATCACAACCGGACGGAGCGGCGCGGTGCGGCACTCCCGGCGGACTCCTCCCGGCTCTATGTGCCACCCGGCCAGCCGTCGCCGTGCCCCACCCGGCCAGCCGTCCCCATGCCCCATCCAGCCCCTGCCGTCCTCGCGCGTCACCCGGCTCGCCGCCGCCGTGCGCCACCCGGCCGGGCGTCCCCGCGCGCCGCCCAGCCCCTGCGGGCCGGTCGGCCCGCGCTGACTCTACCGGCAGCTGTCGGCCCCCTTCTGTGCTGGTCTAGAAAGTCGACACCGGACGGATTGAGTCCCTGCGTGAAAGATGATTGCGTCGTGGCTATCAGCCTTCTCCTGCATACCCAATGATATCGGCCGTCTCGGGTGTGGCTCACTTAGCGGCGTGAGCTCTGTCTGGATAGACCGTCATACGTATGAAGCGTCTATGACGCGTTCAGACCAGAGACGTAGATTTTTCCAAAGTGTCAGCACGCAGCCAGCTAGAGATCCCGCCTTTAATCTTAGACAGATACGTAGTGTGCATAAATGTCGTCAGCCAGCTAGAGGTCCCACCTTTAATTCTAGACAGATACATAGTGTGCATAAATGTCGTCAGCCAGCTAGAGATCCCGCCTTTAACCTTAGACAGATACATGGTGTGTACAAAATGTCGTCAGCCAGTTCGATATCCCGCCAGTTAGATATCCAGTTAGATATTATGGATAATTTCTACTGTACTAAAGAACATTTTTAGCACTGTGACGGCAGTGACTTACAGTTACAGGCAACTACAAATGAGAGGAAAGCGGGCGAAAGTTAAAACGGCCTATCACCAAAACGTACCTGAGATTCCACCCTTGCACATCATTTTAGTAAACCACAGGCCATGTCTTCTAAAATTGCACGCATCAACAGATGACCTTGAACTGAGTGAAAAATGTTGCATGTTTCACGTCATGCGGAGTCTCATCGGTTTCTTGCTCTGTGCATGGGAACAACGTTGTCGCTGGGGCTTTACGAAACGCCCAGTTGTCCCGCAGTAAGGGTGGAACGAAGCATGCGTAAGAGCCACTGCTATCCCGCCGTCAATTGTACGCTTTTCAGGACAAACTCCACGCTACCATCAAGGTAATTTCTGTTTCGACAGCTGTTGCTGCGACCACTGAGTGAGTGACAGCAGCAATGACAGAGTGAGCGTGACAACTGTCGCTGCGACCACTGAGTGGGTGACAGCGGCAATGACAGAGTGAGCGTGACAACTGATGCTGCGACCACTGAGTGGGTGACAGCGGCAATGACAGAGTGAGCGTGACAACTGATGCTGCGACCACTGAGTGGGTGACAGCGGCAATGACAGAGTGTACGTAACAACTGTTGCTGCGACCACTGAGTGGGTGACAGCGGCAATGACAGAGTGAGCGTGACAACTGTCGCTGCGACCACTGAGTGGGTGACAGCGGCAATGCCAGACAGCTGAGTGAGCGTGACAGCTGTTGTGCGTTGGATACACCTATAACTGCGGGCCGCACTGACTAGTGAACGAGGCTGGGACAATGACAGGCACACGACATCCCATCATTTCAGAACACCGGGTTCGAAGGGTTGCTCAGAAGACCTCGAATGGAGCCGGGTCTGGGCCCCGGCTGTGACGGATTTGACTTCACGTGCCCGGCCGTGGGGGCGGGCTCGATCGGCCTGACTGGGACGGGTTCGGTTTGGTCGAAGCCCTGATGTGGTAGGTCCATGGCCCTAGCATCCCTCCTCGATGACCTGCTTTCCGCATTTTACGCATAACTTGTGACCGGGATACAAGCCCCCTAAGCGAACAGTGGCCAACAATAAAGATTTTGATGACATCGCAGCCATTCAATGGTCGCTTTACACCTCAAATTAAACGGGTTGACGCAAACCATGCCTTTCGAAAGATATGTAGGCTTCATAAACGCGGTGCGCGTAAGACCGCACAGAGCTCACGCCGCTAAGTGAGCCACACCCGAGACTGCCGATATCATTGGGTATGGAGAAGAAGGCTGATAGCCACGACGCAATCATCTTTCACACAGGGACTCAATCCGTCCGGTGTCGCCTTTCTAGACCAGCACAGAAGGGGGCCGACAGCTGCCGGGAGAGTCAGCGCGGGCCGGACCGGCCCGCAGGGGCTGGGCGGCGCGCGGCGACGCCCGGCCGGGTGGCGCGCGGGGACGCCCGGCCGGGTGGCGCGCGGGGACGCCCGGCTGGGTGGCGCACGGGGGCGGCAGACCGGGTGGCGCGCGGGACGGCTGGCCGGGGTGGCGCGCGGGATGGCCGGCCGGGTGGCGCGGGACGGCTGGCCGGGTGGCGCGCGGGGACGGCAGGCCGGGTGGCGCACGGGACGGCCGGCCGGGTGGCGCGCGGGGACGGCCGGCCGGGTGGCACATAGGGCCGGTCCGCCGGGCGTGCCGCACCGCGCCGCTCCGTCCGGTTGTGATCGCATTCACATTGCGCAGCGTGTAGCGAGTCCTCAGTCCTGGCAATGATTCTACAATTCCGTTTTCCGACGAACAAAAATGTGCTGTGAAAAAATCATGTTACTTCGCGCATTGCCATTATTACGCTATTTTATGGCATCATTATCAACAGAAAACGGTTGGGCGCCAACGTGCAAGCTTCAGAATCGTGATCGCAGCACACGAAAACCCTGTGGGGCAGGTTTTGTTCAGATCTGAGGTGATGGTGTGGCCTCGACTGGTTGAACTGGCATGGCATGACCTTGATATAATGTGTCAATACACAACAGCCAGCCTTAAAGTGGCAGCCAACGAACATTTTAGTCTGATCGCGCGCAGTGAGATTCCGTCTGGAGAACCTCACGCCTCTTTAAGCCTACGTCAGAAAACAGTGCGAAGCTGCTGGCACCGCACCGATGCTGTGACTTGTCTGAACTGAATACATGCGAGTAATCACTAACTGATGCGCTCGCGACGTACGTTATTGATGCGTGATTGTACGGTGTTGATGCGAGATTGTACGGTATTGATGCGCGACCTAGGGTATTGATGCGTGATTGTGCGGCATTGTGCGCGATTGCACGGTATTGATGCGCGACGTACGGTATTGAGGCGTGATTGTACGGTATTGAGGCGTGATTGTGCGGTACTGATGCGTGATAATCCCGTATTGATGCACGGCGTACGGTATTGATGCCTGATTGTACGGTATTGATGCGTGATTGTACGGTATTGATGCGCGACGTACAGTTGTACGTAGGGACGTACACAGACGTATCTTCGCAACATGTCTCTGAAGTGCTTTCGTTCCGAGCTCGTATATCACAGGCCTTGCCAGACGGATGGGATAGTTTTGTGTCATTAGACGCATGGTCGGAGCGAGTTTCCATAAAAAGCGTAGTAATAGTCTTGAACAAGCGCTCAGAATCCAAGCCGCCACCCGGATGTCGCAAGCCAGTGTCACGATAGGTGGATCGAAGGTGACGTCACCGCCGCCTACACCAATCAGCGTTGAACTGGCGCCTCGACGGCGGACCGTGTGTGACCTCCGATCGGGGCGGGGCAGGCAGAGAGTCCTCGAAGACGGGGCGCCGAGCAGCCGCGCCGCAGCTCAAGTCACGTGAAAACGGCGACTTAAAAACGGCGACTTAAAAACGCCGCAAGCCACGTCAGACTTTGACAGAGCGAATTTCGCTGGATTTGAGCAAAACAGCTGGTAAGTCTTTGACTTAAAACGACAAAGTTTGCCGAGTTTTGGCAACCTGGTACCTAGTCAGACTGGCAGCAGCCTAACAAACTGGAAGACTGCCGACAGACTGTCATCAGACGGCTGCCAGCCGGGCATCGGAGCCAGTCTGACCGGGCCACCAGTCTGACCGGGTCACCAGTCTGACCGGGCCACCAGTCTGACCGGGCCACCAGTCTGACCGGGCCAGCCAGTCTGACCGGGCCACCAGTCTGACCGGGCCGCCAGTCTGACCGGGCCACCAGTCTGACCGGGTCACCAGTCTGACCGGGCCACCAGTCTGACCGGGCCAGCCAGCCAGTCTGACCGGGCCACCAGTCTGACCGGGCCACCAGTCTGACCGGGCCAGCCAGCCAGTCTGACCGGGCACCTCGACACCGGACTCTCGGCCTGCCGGCGCCGGACGTGGGCTGAGGCGGCGAGGCCTACCTGGGGTGGAGCCGTCCTCTCCCGGTCGCTGCGAGGGCCCTGGCAGCTGCGGCAGGCCGGCGAACCGGCCCGGGAACGGACCCACTGAAACAGGCGCGGCGCGCCGTCAGCGCTCAGCGCACGGACCACATGGGGTGGCAGGCGACGCCGAACCAGCTAGTTACTGGGCTTCTGGGCACTCCTGCTGCGCCGACGTCACGCGCATGTTACACACACGGATCGTTAACGTTATAAGGCAGGCATCACTTGGTTCGACACACGGCTAACGCGGAGTGGAAAACGCCACTGACGGAGAGTGAGCGCTGTTGGGCATGCACCATTCGATACATGTTCATGTTCATGCTCACATGTTCTGCATCATTTTTACACTTCTTTCGAATCTGACCGAAGGGTTCGCAGTGGCCGTCCTGGGGTAGGGATGCGTTCGAAGCACAGCTTGCTGTCAAGACCGTAACCTCACTACCTCAGTGGAGTCATTCGAGTTCGTCAGACAGGGAGTCATTCGAGTTCGTCAGACAGCTTTTGCCGACGGATTCCTACATGCCACGTCATGACGCGACAGTCTACCCGGTCTGGGCTGCTGGGGAAATGACTGCGGAAATGATCGAGGCAGCGATCGCCAGACAGTCGGCGGCCAGTCCGCAAACGCGTTCCGGGTGCGACGTCGTTTCTCGGCTTCTCTTGCGCGATCCTCTGGTGTTGAGCAAAGGGAAAAACAAGCCTTCACCTCAGCTTGCTCAGTTCGGTTGAGTGGCCGTTCAAAACCGGCACCTGGTTGCGCCGTGTGAATGTCGGTGCCCACAGCAGGCGATACGTGCTTTTACACTCCTGGTGCTATTTGAATGGCAGGCCTGCAAGGTCGGTGACAACGGAGCCGCGTCATGCTGTTAGCACTTGGTAGCCGTGGACCTCCCTACGACAGCCTACCACGTCCCCGCCCCCTTCCTCCCGGTTACTAGGCACCCCTGGCGATAACGTTCCGGTAACCACACCAACGGACCGCAAACCGAGCGGAGCTGCGTGCGTCAATAGTCGTCCATAACTCACCGTTGCCGACGGTGAGGTCGTGGCTGTCAGCCGCCGGGCCCGTCTCGCCGCTGTAGGCGCCCTCATACTCCGCCAGCCGGCCGAGCGCCGCGTCCAGGCTGCCCTCCTCGTCCTCGTCCGTCAGGTCGATCTTCTCCACCTTGATCACGTCCGGCTCCTGCTCGCCGCGCGCCTCGCGCGCGTTCACCGGCTCTCGCAGCAGGCCGCGCGGCTCCGCCGGCTCCCGCGACTTCCGGCGGCTCACCGGGCGCGTGCGGCGCCGCCGGCTCCGGCTCCAGGCTCCGCCTCCGGCGCCGGCGGCGGCGGCGACGACGGCGACTGGTTGGACGAGCCGGACAGCAGCACGGGCGTCTCCGGCCGCCGCGGCAGCGGCGGAGGCGGCGGCGGCGGCGGCGGCGGCGAGGGCGGCAGCGGCGGCGCGTCGGCCGGCCCGGACGGCCGACGCCGCTTGGCCGGCGGGCTGGACGGCTGGCGCGGCTCGGCCGCCGCCAGCCGCTGATCGCCGGAGGACGGGCGCAGCTCCGACGGCGGGGGACGCCGCTCGGGCCGCGCCAGGCGCGGCTCCGGCGGTGGACGGGGCGCCGGCGCCGGCGGCGGTGGCTGTGGCAGGCGCGAACGACCGTCACGCGGCGACGAGCCTGACACGTCAACGGCACCCGGAATGTTGGCACCGCAGACGTGGACAGCTGCACAAAAGGTCACACCAGACGTGCTCAAGGCAGCTACGAGCCAAATGACAAAAACGTTGCGAAACAGCATAATGTTATGACGCACTAGTCTTTTCCAGGTACCGACCCGAGTCTTTCATACGGGGACAGCGGACGCAACTTTTCCTACATCAAGATTCGAGCGGGTTCTCTCGCAGTCGAAGCGCAATCGTCGGCCCGCCCACCTTCTCTTCATCCCCGCTGAGACCCCTGATCTGCAGCATCTCGGCCGTCTTGATGAAGCTGGCCAGCTGGCTCTGGGCCACGTTCACGCTGCCCTTGTACATGAACTCGATGATGGCCCGCAGGTCGGCGGCCGACGTGTCCTTCAGGAAGATCACCATCTGCTGACATGGGTTGTCCTGCAAACACAGGAACCGACTTCTATTATGTGGCGAAGGTGCCGGTAGTGTAGTGGTTAACGCGTCTGCGTCAGCCACTGCGCGTCTGGGAAACCAGAGGTACGGGGTTCGATTCCCCGCGGTGCCCGCCCTTCCTGCCAGGGTGAGAGGCAAGCGACGCCATATAGCCTCAGCAGCTGAGTGCGTCGTAAATCCCCAATTACACGACGAATTATACCATGTGGCTACGAATTCACACAACTGTGCTTACTAATGTAACCCTATGTTGCCTGTATGTTAAGCCTGTTTTTACGTGCCCTCACCGCGCTTTCTGTATCATGAAAAAAGCAGCGTTTTGTAATGGGCACTTCCAGGTAATGGGTACTTCTAGGTACCTTGGTAATGGGTAATTCTAGCCGCACTGAATGAGCTGAGTCACACTCGCACTTGCGAAGTATACGCGTATGCTCGGAAATGATACCACTCAATGTTAATGCACACCGACGTACATGTTGCTGATGCGTTCTGTTCCACATCTGAAATGGCAAACTCCATCTAAAAACAGTTCGTCCTCTGCTTTTTACGACTATGACATGTCTCTCTTTAGGGGGAGAGAAACTCCCCTGCCCACACTGGAGCAATCGCAAAAAACTATACATTGAATGCACACACCAGTCATCACCATCATGACCCAGGAGCATGTGTCTAGGTAAAGGTCATGTAACAACATTGAACATCCATGTATAAAACACAAAAAAAGACAGTCAAACAATACACATGTGACAATGTACGTCTTCAACCCTGCAAGTCTGGTGTGAAACAAGAGTGTTGTTTGTTCAGTTCAGTTTATCGTATTCCCGAGTCATTTCAACGAGTGGCTTAACGCTTATTTTGTTGCAATCATAATAATAACATGAAACCAACATTAAAACATGACGACAACGCGTCCAAATTCGCACCTCATCAACCCTCCCGTCTTTTCACAGCGCAGAGCAAGCGATGAGTACACAACAGCCGTCCAAATCTTGTCGTCTGGTGCGACACCCGTCGTACGTGCGGGAGGCGGCGATGGTCGGCGACAGGCGGCTGCAGGACGAGACTGCGCGACCCGAGAAAGCCCTCCGTGCCTCCAACATGCGGGAGCTTTGTTACTAAGTCTCCACAAATCCTACCTTGAGCAGGTCCCTGAAGTATGGGCTGCAGGCAGACAGCATCATCCGGTGCGCGCGCACCCGCTGGCCCTCGCAGCAGAGCGTGATGTCCACCAGCTCGCCATCATGACGCAAGCAGTCAAACAGTGACGTCACGCTGCTCTGGAAGCCATCCCATTTGAGGCAGAACTTCTGGCCATCCATCATCTGAAGTCAGAGATGAGTTTAAAGGGAGTGTTCCAAATCTATATCAGGGTTTCAACTGAAATAGCCATCTTGAAGACCTTTCGGAGCACTTCATAGCCCTGTCCTTCTGAAGACATAAACCCCTCTAGTTTCTCAGTTCCATACCCGCAAGAATGGGGAGAGCATTGCTAATAGAGAATTTGAAATTCACCTCGGGATTCATGATGTCATAATAGCGTCACTGGAGTCCTGCCATTTCAAAAGCCATGTGACAATCAAAACCAAGAAAAATATAATGGTCCAGTCATTCATATCTAGTGTTTCTGAGCATGAATTTCAGATAAAAAGATGGTCAATTGACTCTTAATTAATGTTGTGCAAGATGTGATGATGTAGTCAAACAATGACACATTAAGCAGCATATTCACTTAACAGAGGAATTTTTGTGTCTACAGCCATCTTTTCTACTTAAAAGCACACCAATAGTTATAAGTAACTTGTTTCATCACATCTGATGTCGCCTTAAAGATGATGCCTTTACTGTGCATGGAGCAGACATGTATCATAGACAGCACTGTGGTGATCAATGACCTTTGCCAGAGCAAATTTCCCTACATCCCTGGTCATCCCTGGTCCTGCATCCTTGGTCTTTGGAGTCAACACTTGCTATGAAGCAACCACAGCTTATAAAGAGTCCAACCAATCCTAAACCTGAACAGCCTGAAGACCACTTCTTGAATGTTTGAATATTTGTTGAGGTAGGTCAGTGGACTATTGCATTTTTATCCAGACCAAAATAATAAAAACACATCAGCATGTGAGCCAGTTTAGGCAAATGGTACGCTTCAATACAAAATTCAATAGCAGCTGAAACCTGCTTAACCTTGGTTAAAATGTGTTTGTCAACATCAAGTTTAAGGGGCACCTCTGGAAAGTTGGTGTTAAAATTTAAAACTCTAGGTCCACTCAACTTTTCAAAAACAGGCTACAGGTAAAAGCTAGAATCTAAGCCTGGCACAAAGGCACCACATGTAACTTACTAGACGTGGTGTTTCAGCTGAATCATCTAGCGAACAACTAGTCACATCTTTGCATGGCCAAGCGCATTTACCACCATACATTTTTTACCAACCAGGTAAGCACTGTCAAATAATAGGCAGCACTTTGCAGAAAGGACTGTTCCCCATCTTAAAATGGCCTGGCAGTTAGTGAGATATGAAGCTCCAATAGTCATTGAAATAAAGCAACTGACTCACATTCAACAATATTTATGCAAGCATTAGATATCATAGAAAAAGCTCACTTGTTACCATCAGTGCACATTATTGAAGGGAGTGTTCTACAACTATATAGGGTTTTGAACTGAAATAACAATTTTGAAGATCATTTGGTGCAGGTCACAGCCCCACCCTTCTTAGGACCTAAGCCCCTCTTATTTCTTAGTTGCACATAACACAAGATGTACAGACCATTTCAGGGATATTATTTCAGTGCCACACAGACATCCATGATGCTACAATAATGTCATTCAAACCTTGCCCTTCAATTTCCTGGTCATCAATCAAAGCTAAAAATACCATTTGAGGAGTCCACTTATGATCTTGTGGTATTTGTGAGCATGACTTCCAGATATCCAGATACAACAGCAGCGAGCATGACTTCCGGATATCCAGACACAACAGCAGTGAGTATGCCTTCTGGATATCCAGACACAACAGCAGTGAGCATGATTTCTGGATATCTAGACACAACAGCAGTGAGCATGATTTCCGGATATCCAGACACAATAGCAGTGAGCATGACTTCTGGATATCCAGACACAACAGCAGTGAGCATAATTCCTAGATATCCAGACACAACAGCAATGAGCATGATTTCTGGATATCCAGGCACAACAGCAGTGAGCATCATTTCTGGATATTCAGACACAACAGCAGTAATCATCATTTCCAGATATCCAGATACAACAGCAGTCAGCTCTCTTTTAATCTAAGTTGTACAATGCATGAGGACAATCAAACAATTATATGTTGAGAAGCATATTTACAAAACAGATAAATGTTCCCTGCAGCTACATTTCTTAGGGCTCTTGACAATGTACATTAGTTTGGCTATGTCAAAACTATGGAGCTGGCAGGCCAGGAGCATTGTGCTGCTCCTCTAAAGTGTTCAGACATCAATCACTACCAAAATTATTTAAGCTTGAAGGTAAGAGTGTAATGTACCTGCTTTAAGATTGTTTGCAATATCCACTGCCTTGAAGAAGACAAGTTATGTATAATGCTCTTTTGCAGCAAAAAGTTCCTATGCCTACCTTGAACAAACCATTAGTATATCATCAGTTATTTGTGAGCTCTATAGTACTGGACTATATACAGGACTATAGTCTATAATACTGTATCACAGGTATGCTCCTAATGAATTGCAGCTTGAACTCTTTGTAAGGTATAAAATACCTCTCAATCCCTTGTGGGTAGTCTTGATCAAGCAGCTTGACCTCCACACTATTCAATCTGTTATGCCATTTTCATCTCACTGTGATTGAGTTGGGGGAAAATATTTGGGGTGCCTTGCAAAAACTTCATGAAGTAAAAAAATATTTGGAATTACTGTGCATGCACCCCTAACTCAATTGGTGGCAATTTTTTAATAGCGCTCAACATGAAAAGGTCAGTCCATAACATGACAATGATGCCTATAGGGGACAGCACCCTGTAATCATCCACCTGCCCACCATGCAACTGGCCACATCTGTTACTCCGGATTTGTGGGGTTCAGCTCCTATCTTGGACATCAAATCTTTCCCACCGCCGAATTTTTTTTTAAATTAAATGGTCTTCACTTTTTCACCTCAGTGGGCGCTAACCAACACACGAAAGGAGACACGCGACTGCCCAAATTTATTGGGATCACACAGCGACGGTAACAATGACTAGCTAGTGGGAATTTCAACGGCACTATGACGCGACGCTCATACACACCTATATAACGTTATAAACTGTTCTCCACATCACATAAAAAACACGATTACTGCCATCTCACAATAATTGTCCTACGAAAATACTTACATCAACGGCGATAACGCAGGAAGCACGTCGCTCTCTCTCAAATCGAACATTGCCTGTGAATGTGACGCAGGTTTTCATTGCGATGCGGTACTTGAAGTTGAGTCAGCCAGCTGATGATGACGTATGTTAAGTCAAATTTTAGCTATCTTACTATTGAGAGTTGTACAGCTTACCAGATATATAGCCCAAAGTGACCTTAGATCATGGGCAGGGGCGGTGACATCCAGGGGGACGTGGGGAGGAGTCCCCCAACAACTTTCAGAGCGTAGGGGCCGCGCTGAGAAGTCGTAATTTGCGCAATGCATGAACACGCTGTAGCGGAACGGAAGAAACGTACTAATAAACGCATAGCGTTTTTTAACGCTAATGTTTTTTCCAACGCCATAGAATTGCAGCACCATGTAACTAGAAGATCAAAGCACACTATGGAAGTGTGCTCTTAAAAGGAAGCTTTTCGCGCACCCGAAGTCATGGCTGGAGATGCCATGAAGGTCGGGGGTCGTGACTCCCGACTTACTCCCGACTTCCGTGCCCCGCAAAACTTGCCCAGAGGCTGCACCAACCGTCCACGTCCCCTCTGGTTTCTTATGGGCACCCCTGGTTGTGCAGCGGCCCTTTCAGCCACCTCAGTGCTAGTCTACATATTGAGGGCCTATTGGTTGCTCAGGCATTTACAGGGGGAATGCGCCTCCTCATATGTCCCGAAGGGGGGGGGGGGGGTAAAGGGTTCATGGGATCCGAAGATCATGGGTCTGACTGCCGGGTCTGAGAGCCCCAAGGACCGGCCGGATGTCATGTTCACGAACTCCGGTCCTGCGGCCCAGGGCCCGCAAATATCATTCATTCATTTATTTAGAGGGTTTCCTGCACCGATCTCCTCCTTCTAGGACATGTTGGCCGAACATGCTGGATGGACATAGGACATGTTCCCATGCTGGCCGGAGTCCGCAAATGCCACATATTTGACCCCGTGTCAACTAGTGGGCCATTTTTCAAACCGCATATGTGTCATGAGATTTTCAGCTTTGGTTGGGACCCCTCAGACAATGGGGGGGGGAGGCGAGGGGGGTCTGTGTTGGCCAGGGATCATAGTGCCTAACAGGGCACCGCATGCTTGCAGGGATTTCTGAGTCAGCCAGGGGCCCATTCTCTGATCTGAGACAGGGACGGGGCTCCGGATGTGGGTGAGAATGTTGCGTTGGTCGTGACCCTCTGATAATAAAGGAGGTGGGAAGCGGCCGCGATGAGACAATGGAAGTGACCCGCGTTAGTGAACAGAGATCCTCCAGCCGTTTCACCTAAGGGGGAAAAGTGAAACTGGAGACCCTGTGCAATTTATGGGTCTATTACGTCAGTAAGAGACTCTTTTACTTGGCGTGGGGCATAGGTGTTGTAAGAACGTTTTAAAAAGCTGGAGTCAGACTCAAGGTATGCTTTAACTAACTGGGAAGCAGGTCCGTTGACCGGGGGGGGGGGAGGAGGTATCAACCAGCATGCATAGATGTAGGAACAGGGGGGCCAGGGGGCCAATGTCCCCCGCTTTTCAAGTTGGGGGCTAACAGTGTTAACTGGCCACCCCACTTTTCACATTAAGGCTGTGTTTGGCTAACTTTTGCACTACATGAAACACATGTGCCGATTTACCTAGTTCACCAGCCATCTTCCTCAAGATGCGTCATCTTTTTTTCGGCTGCTCATTGGCCACCACTTAGTGTTACAGCCGCAGAGCCGACGCCGCGCGGCCCATGGATACTGCAACGCCGGGTATCGAGGCTGTTGTTGCTTGACTTGCGAGCGGGAATGTTCAAACCATATTACATAGCGTTTATCAGTAATCAATTCCGACTGGACCTTGAACATTTTAAGATGAACATGGATTAGTTATGCTAATACAAATTTTGGACCCCATTTCATCTACAATCAACGTTCAGGGAGTCCTCAATATAACTGAAGAACACAAAAACATGGAGCCGGAGTATATTTGACAATTGTTGGACCACCTGCGGCGATTAGGGGTGTTGATGCGTCAGTGACGGTCTCTGTGCAGATCCAGGGCCAACTGCGCGGATCAGAAGACCACCCGTGTCAGGGAGGGGAATAATTTGTTACGATATATCCTAATGGCCTCCGGATCGATCAGGAGATCCCGCCCCGTGTCGCCAGAATGACAGCCAGAAGGCATTTTGCGATAGGCCGGAATGGCCGTTCAGCACTTGACCTGAAACGTTAATGTGCTCCGGGTGTTCTACTATAGGGGCCCTTGCCTGGAAGGAAATGAGAGTCCCAATGTTGTTGAGTAGAGTGGTAGCCTCACTACTGTTGAATAGAGTTTGTTGAAATGAGTTTAAAAAAACAAACAAGGCCATCTCATGTTTGCTGGAGAACGTTCATTTTTTTCAGAATGGATTAGTAAAACAAATTACATCGACATGTTTGGACATGCCCGCCCGCAACCTCAAGTGAAAGGACAGTGATGGCCTGGGTTGCAGATTCCGTAAAACCAAACGGCATCAAACACTGCAAGTGTCACCACACACTTGCGATTATAATTACACTGAAAGTGTCACCAGACACACAGATAACCTCGGCGGGCCCCGTGGTAATCTGTCTTCTCGACAGATTGATAGTTACAGAAACACGAAAAATAGAGATTCTAAGTTTTGCTCTTCCAATTCCCACGCCAGATTCCAGCATCACTTTGTGGTGCTTTATTGGTCAATTCGTTCGTATCATCAGCCTAAAAATCGCACACGTGAGTTATGTGCCCAGACTGCCTGCTAAATGTAAGATTTGATGTCCTGATGCGTTCAAAGGTACTTCTTTCAGACGCGTCATCATTTTCAGAAGGTTTTTTTCAACACCGTGTTCCTCCTTGGCAAGGCTCTGCCTACGCAACTGCCTACGCACAAAAGCAGATCAGTCGTCTACGTTGAATGATGGGCACTAAAATGTCCATTGGGCCAATTCATACCTAAGGCAGGCAGCTTCCCGGATGCTTTTTCTGCGATGGTGTGGTGTAAGGAAAGACAATTCGGATAAGATGCTGTTGTTGGTGTTTAATATGTTTTACACCACACATATGGTAGGTGTTTAACATATGTTTTTAGTAATGCTAATCCAGAAATATGCCAACAAAGCAGCCATGCGTTTAGTTCGCAGTCAGTCATGGGGGAGACAGCCGGCCCAGGGCAGTGGCCGCCGACTGCGGACGTTAGCAGGGCCCAAGTAAGGAATACATGACAGAAGGGTCTTCATTCTGTGGCTCGGTTTTTAAAGGAGAATTTTCAGTTGTATGGCTTTTGTTACACTGTTTTTAACAGTTTCACTGCGACAAGTCTTATCTCTTGAAAATCAGCCGGCGAAATGGAAGGCGTATACAAATTTGTCGCACTGTGAGCCCTCGATTTACTTTCAAAATTCTGACCAACCTACGTCCAGGCCGTATTTTGGCATTTACTCTATGGGGGCAGATACCTCCTTAATGACGCAAAATGCCTACTCGCGCGTGGAATTTCTCCTCCCCAGGAAAGACAATGTTGAAATGGACGAATAATTCTGGAAAGCTGGACAGCCTTATTTGCCGAATGACATAGACCATGACGAGTCTAACAGGCAAGATTGTGCATCACTGAGAAACAGCTCTAGGTATATATCTAGCAAAACAGCTATGACATTTGAATAAAGAACGACAACAACCTCCATCTGTACACCCCCCCCCCCTTCCCCCCCACGCCCTGAACTTGCCCCCCCCCCTCCACTTTTTGAAACGTTCTTACGCCTATGCCAGCAGTGTCCAGCTGGCACCACTGTGGGTCCGAGATAGACAGCCATATGGGGCTCGTCTGGGCTGCCCTCTTCGGACCCTTGTAGGCATGTCATGGCCAACCAAATGGGTTCCACATGGGCAGTCCACCTGGGGCCCATGTCAGGCTTAACTGGAGCCCACATGGGGCCCATCTGGCTGCCCAGTTGGGATCCACGTGGGCATGGTGAGCTGGGACCCACATGGGAATGCCGAGCTGGGACCCATATAACATTCCAGATGGGACCCATTTAACTAGTCAAGGTGGGGGCCCATATAATCACCCCAAATGGGCCCCAGTTGGGCCCCACCGATCTGCCCTTTCAAATCCCATCTGATTGGTGGACAGCCGGAATGCCAGACAGACTGCTTTACATCACGAATGATACGCCAGGTTAAGGTTTGTGCACCATGTGACTGTGCGAACGAGGTTAAGGTTTTTGCACCATGTGTTTGTGCGACCAGGTTGAGGTTTGTACACCATGTTTTTGTGCGAAATTGCCTCGGCAGCAGCACCGTTGCACGAAGCCTACACTATTCTGTTTACGAAGCGTACACTATTCTGCTTACGAAGCGTACACTATTCTGTTTACGAAGCGTACACTATTCTGTTTACGAAGCGTACACTATTCTGTTTACGAAGCGTACACTATTCTGTTTACGAAGCGTGCACTATTCTGTTAACGAAGCGTACACTAGTATGTTTACAAAGCGTACACTATTCTGTTAACGAAGCGTACACTAGTATGTTTACAAAGCGTACACTATTCTGCACGAAGCGTACACTATTCTGTCGTCGTGGCCGATGCGACAATCACTAAACCATTCAACGGATACTATGCGCTGCCGCTGCTACCGTTGTCAGTGCGATGTTACCTGCTCTCGGCGCAGTCTCTCTCGCCGACGCCATTTTACTGGTGCATTTTCCTGCTTAAAGAACTTACTATATGTTAACTGGGCTATCAAGATTGGTTGTAATGAGAGCAGCTACGTTGAATAACAGCGCGGAAATGCGCATTAACAAAATGAGCCAACGCTGATGGAGGTGACAAATTTCTTGCCCCGACCCTTCTGAAAGAGATATCCGTAGCAATGGTTCTTAATTTTGCACGAGCTCACGGATGAGACTCGCTTTGCCGACACGTGGCGGAGGTGAGCCGTGGACCATGCCGTCACTGCATGCACACGCACTTCCTCGGAAAAATTGTAAGGAAAACTTTACGCCAGATTGCTCATATGGA